ACTTTGGACATGTTATCAGGAGGGATCAGTCCCTGGAGAAGGACATCATGCTTGGTAAAGTAGAGGGTCAGCGAAAAAGAGGAAGACCCTTGTCTTAGGCTGGGTTCCCTAGAGAGGTAAAACCAGTAAAGCATATAAATATATATAGAGAGAGAGATTTATGTCAACAGAATGCCTCACGAGGTTGTAGAGGCTGTAATGTCCCAAGTCTGCGGGTCAGGATAGAAGCTCTTCCTGATTCATGTAACTGCAGGGGCTGGTGAACCCCAAGATTGGCAGGTCAGGGAGCAGGGCTTTTGCTCACAGGCTGTGAAGATCAACAAATCCCAAGATTGGCAGGCAAGACCATAGGTAAGCTGCTAGCTTAAGTCCCAAGAACTGGAGGTCAGATGAACACGAGCCATCTGCAAGATCCAGAACAAGCAAAAGCCCCTGAGCCCTGCCAGAACATCTGCCCACACTTGATGCAGGCCACACACCCAAGGAAACTCCCCTTCAACCAATTGGCTACTCACAGCAAATTCATCGTGGGGGTGATCACATATCAGATCTCAACAGGGAAGTGACCACAACATCACACGACTGCCAGAACACAGAGAATCATGGCCCCGCCAAGTTGACACAATGTTAACCGTCATAACCCTCAACTAGATGGATTGACACAGTGGATGCAACAGTGGGCTCAAACATGGCAATTGTGAGTATGGTGCAAGACCAGACAGTATTTCATTCTTTTGTACATAGGGTCCCCTAACAACAACAAGAACAACGGGTTACAATGTGGCATCATTATGAACTTGGAAGTAACAGGAACATCTGAAGAGAAGGGATATAGTTCATCAATTAGGCAACCCTCTCATCTGCTGTAGGCCGTACACAGAAGCAGGCCGCCCTTCTCTCAGCCATGGCAGGTGACGGCCCTTTTCTCGGCTGTACCAGCCAGCAGCCTTCTTAGTCTTCAGTGCTGCTTGATTAAGTGTTACAGCTCTGCCACCATACCTTCTGCCTGAAAACACTCAGCTTGCCTTTCCCAAGCACTTTCAAGCTCACCATAGCCACCTCCCGCCAATCTCTTTGTTCCTGCTGCTGTCTCACACTGTCTTGTGCCAACTTCACTTTAGTTACAGCTCTTGACCCATATTACAGCCTTTTTAGGAGGTTTTCCCTCCCTTTCATTGCCTCTCTCTCTGGGTCTGTGAGGTTCTCAGTGCAGGAACCCTGGGTCCAAATGATGTACTCTGCTCCAGACTCTTCTTGATTGTAGTGAGGTTCCCCTCAACCTCTGTGGGATTGACCTTTATATTCAGTTTCATGGTATGGCCCTTCCAGCCATACCATGAACTGACCAAGCCCA